TCATTACTGCAGACCATACTACAGAATATGGACATACAATACCAATAGGTGTAGTACAGTGATATATGTAGATATCAACACTTCATTACTGCAGACCATACTACAGAATATGGACATACAATACCAATAGGTGTAGTACAGTGATATATGTAGATATCAACACTTCATTACTGTAGACCATACTACAGAATATGGACATACAATACCAATAGGTGTAGTACAGTGATATATGTAGATATCAACACTTCATTACTGTAGACCATATAACAGAATATGTACATACAATACCAATAGGTGTAGTACAGTGAGATATGTAGATATCAACACTTCATTATTGTAGACCATATAACAGAATATGGACATACAATACCAATAGGTGTAGCCTGTGCATTATATGAAATCCACTTGACAGAAATTTCAACTTCACATAATCTGTTTCGACTTGAATGAATCAACAAAAATTTGTTCATGTGCATCACCCTTGCCAGAAGAATCCCATGTTCTGATGAGCTATTTCTTGTACATGTACTCATGTGGTATCTCAGAGAGCACGGATGTGTCTTGGTGACATTGGATGCCTAGGACCATAAAACAGAAATATGAGTACAGCATCCTTCTCTCCTTGCATCTGAATAACTCTGGCAATATCAACATGACCAAGTGATGCTAAATCATAGAGAAACCGCAGAGAATGGACCTCACAACTAGGAGTTCATGCACAACTCAGATTACTGTCATGCTTCTGATAGAACTGCCTACATATGAGATGGTGTTCTCAGTATACAATCTCATCTTTTAAAGCTAATAAATCCCAATAGTTAAATCTCAGAAACAGTTTTTAGAAAAGTGGGAATGTTATGGGATGCACTAGAAGTTATAAGCAACCATAACGAACATTGTGAGGCTAGAAGTGGGGTGTATAACTGATTTTATTTTGGCGGGGGGTATTCAAATCATGAAACTTGGGAAAGATATTCTCAAGCTCAGCTCTCTTCTACAGCTCATTAAAGCAACACTATTTTTATATTTTACATATCTTTCCTCTTCCTCGTCAGTGTTTAACACAAAGTACAAATTCAACCTCTACAAAGTAAGACTCAAAGATGCTGAGAACATGTTCATCTTCAACCACACCAATCTGTCTTCATCAAAGACTTGTGTTTGTAAACACTAAAGCTTCTACAATAAAAACGTATTGCTGCTCTTTCCACATACCATCAATGACAAGGACAGATATCTTTTGACCATCAACAACAAGGACAGCTATGTCCTGACCATCAACGATAAGGACAGCCATCTCCTGACCATCAACACAAGGAGAGCTATCATCTGACCATCAACAACAAGGAGAGCTATCTCCTGACCATCAAAAACAAGGAAAGCTATCTCCTGACCATCAACAACAAGGACAGCTATCTCCTGACCATCAACAAGAAGCTTCTCATTAAATAGTCTGGTGTGATGGGCTAAGCAGTACACTTCCCCAAATTCAGTTGTATTTAGTGTTGCTTTTCTTCATCCATTTACACACACACACACACATTTTGCACCTTTCAAGTTTTGGAAAACCAAGTTCTACAAAATTGAAGCTTGTCACAAATTAATGACTCTATATGCTTAATATTCCTTGCAAACATCAATTCCATTTTTCACAGATAGCTGCTATTCCAAATCTTATCATTATCTTCACAGCTGCTATTAAAACATAAACACAAAAATTAACATGTCCCCCCACAACCAATGTTTTCTCTAAGCTGTTGTATGTGAGGCTTTACATCAATTTGGTAGGTGCCTTGCATCAAAAACAACAGGTTGCTCCTGAATTCATCAAGTAGTAATATACACAGGCCTTAAACTTGAACAATACCATGTCTGAATGTAAAGGCTAACACTAACAGGCGTTCAGAAAAGTGCTGGACAGAATAATACTTGTAAGTAGTGGTCAGAAGCATTTGTAGTCCACCTAGTACAAAGAAATATTAGAAGGTTCATTGCCCATAACAACAATTTAATCACTTCAAAAGTATAACTTTTGCCTTAAAGTTAAACTTGTCAAAAAAAACTGATGACTACGATTGAAAGTTGAAATAGAGTAGAAGGTAATGCCAACAGGAAATGTAACCCTAACTGACAAATCTAAGTAACAAGATAACTTATTACTATTAGATTTACTGTCTGATTCTGAGCCTTATATTAGTTGAATCATACACCAATGTTTTCAAAATTTCTGAAGTTGTCAGTACTTAATTCTACAATACGTAACATTGTAAAAACTTGGTTCTTACGAACTGTTATCCTTAGCCCTAATTTAATTATTAAGTGAATTTGCAGTATTTATATATTCAAAAATACTACGATTCGTTTATTGTAAAAAATAGTTTAAAATTTCTGTTAACTAATTAGTTTTACCTAAGCAATTGGAAACAAGTTGAAAAAACTAAAAGGACGATACACGTTCGATTACGATACTAAGTCTGTTCTTAAATTTACGTATTGATCTATGAGTTTCCAAAACTAAACATATGTATAAATTATGTTATTGTTAGGTTATAATCTAAACAACCGACTAACTACATAGTCAAATGTTTTCTAATTAAAATTATATGTATGTATTCGGAACAGTAAAAAAAAAACAAAAAAACGAATATCATATATATATATATATATATATATATATAGATAACATTCGTTCCTGTGTTCACACATTGTAATTACCGTCACAAAAGAAATATCACAGACGTAAAAAAAGGTATTCTAAAACTCATTCCATAGTATTAAATTCAAATAAAAACATTGAGATGTGTGATTTCAAATCAGATAAGCAGTATCTTAGGTCCTTAAATTTTCATCTTCCAACATTAGAAATTTTAATAGACCAACCTGAATAATCCAATCGTTACGTTCAGCGACTTTCCGATTGTTAGTGAATCAATTGGAGAGTGGATGAATATATGACAGAATTATTCTGGTTATAATAGACAAGCCAAACAACTTTTATTGCTGTTATCATCAAACATTTATTAAAAGAAATGTTTGCCCTAAATTAATTACGTTCTTTTCTGTATGTTTGTTTG